CTCAGTAGGAGGATCAAAAATGGAGATGGATGCCACAAGCTCTTTTTCAGCAGTAAAGAGCTCAGAATCAAGTGGAGAAACCTGAACAACATCAACATAAAGATCAACAAAGTAATGAGCAGCATCAAAGCCAATTTTATCAACATCAGTGAAGACAACACCATCAGTAGTGAATTTTAAGTATAGAATTTATGTTCCTTCTATGCTTAATGGTAGCATGAAAATATTTGGTGTTACGATCCCCATTGGAGAAATGTACATCATTGGCCTTTTGCCTTAAGAAATCTTCTTCAACAGAAATCTCTTCAAGGAGTTTGTGGTGAGCCTGAGCCAACTTATCAACTAGAGAAGGATTGCAAACAACCTGTGATTCCAACAAATCAGCCTCCTGCTGCGCTTGTAAAACTCTAGAGTGGACATTGCCATTTCTTCAAAGCGGATGCCACTTTTTTATGCAGATGCCACAGTACAAACCATGGGCAGCCACTCATCTCAGTGCTCCAAACTTGTTTAACCAAACACAAAAAGAAGGTGTGAGAGGTCCATACATTGAAGAACCTAAAATGTGAATGGGCTGATTTAGAGTGAAATGCCATGGTGAGCAAAATAGGATTATGATCTGAAAGAGCATGATTTAGGTGCTGCACTTGGGTGGTGTTATAATACTCAAGAGAAGAAGAGTTTCCCAAAAATCTGTCTAGCCGTTGCATAAGAAAGTCTCTCCTCCAAGTATAAGGAGAGCCAGAGAAACCTAAATAAAAAAGGCTAGCTTCAGTAATATGTTCACAAAAACGATTAATATGATTGGAATCAGCTCTAGCACCGCCTCTTTTCTTCGAAAGAGATATGATCATGTTAAGGTCACATCCAACAAACCAATTGTCAGTAATAGAGACACCCATATGGATGAGTTTCTGCCAAAGTAGAAATTTATCCTGCAATAAAGAACTGACATAGACAAAGGTAGTCCACCCGTAGAACTCCTCCGAAGTATAATAAACAAGAACAAATTGCATATCATCCTCAATGATGCTGAGTTGAATATCCCTCTTCCAAAAAAGCCAAATTTTGTTGTTCTGATTGCTATAATGTTGTTAACTTTTGAATTTTTTAACTATTTTATCCTTTTGGACAGACACCAAAGGTTCCAAGATAGCAAATATGACAGGTTTATGGACCTTACATAGATATTTTAAACGATTAAGAGAGTGGGGGCTGCCACTCTCCCAATGTTCCACACCAAGATGTTAAGTATTCTGACCCATAACACCCCTCCTAGTGATCCTAGGGGGAAGGTGCAGGTGCTCTCCATTAGAATGGTATGTGACATCAATTATGTTAGAGGTTTTCAAATGAGAGAGCTCAGACTTCCTTCTGCCTCTTTTCCTACTATATTTTTGGATGCTCCATTCGGATTCCAAAGCTAAAGTAGCATCAATAACATGATCCAAAGGCTGAGAAGCCCCAACAAGAGCAGGGTTAGAGGTGGAGGGTTAGATTGTAAAGTAGGTGATATCTGAGAAGAATTTGCAAGGGGAACTGCCTCCATGGGTAAGTCCTCAGAGACAGGTGTATCATGAGAGGTGGAAGAATTATTTATCGGGCAAGGGGGGGTGACATCAAGCGCTTCATTCGCATGTTCAGCTCTCAAAACAGGTTCAGTATTTGAAGGTGGAACAAACTAAGGTGAAGGAACTGAAGGACAAGGTGTCCCAGACACCAAAACATCCTTAGCATTATTTCTTCCAGAGGTATTCTAAGTTCATATATGCTCAACAATAGGATGAGGCATGGTAATAATCTTTTCCACCAAACTGGACACATTTGGAGCAGACAACGGAGGGGCTCTCTTGTCACTCCTAATATCAGCAGAGGTAGTTTGACCATCGTTTTTCTTCCTTAACTCTGGATGAAGGTGAAAACACTGTGTCGAGCCATGACCAAACATGCGACAATGGGAACAGTAGGAAGGGTGTTTTTCAAGCATAACCTGTTGCCAGTAGCCATTATGTACAGAGCCTATCCAAACTTATTAGGTGGTGGCAAAGTGACATCCCTTTCAATTAAGATTCGTGCCATGGAGGGCCTTGGTAAATTATAAGTCTGAGCATCCAACATCAGAGATTTACCAAACATTGCAGCTAAAGAAAATAGGATCTCATGATTAAAAAGATGCACCTTCAAACCAGGGAGCCGAAGCCAAACAAGAATAAACAGACAGTTTTGCTTGGGGATCAATGTTCGCAGTCTATTTAAGGACCTTTGTCAAGACATTTTCAAAACGTACGATTCTACGGGCAAAGATTTTAGCATAGTCCTCCTCATTAGTAAGCTGAATCAAAACTTGTCTACCATCCAGAGGCCCAATTTGCCAACCACCGACCAAGTTCATGTGCTCAAAATGTTTATGAAGGAAGTCTAGCTTCGGAACCCCATAGGCAAATTTACCAACAAGATGAAAACGACAAGAAGAAGCATGTAAGTTGTTCTCGGAATCAGAGAGGAATAGGGCAAGTTTGCCCCCCTTCTTCCCCTGCTTTTTGATAAAGCTGTACTCCCCTCCAAGGATTATAGATTCAAAGAAAGCAGGAGGACAAACTGTTGTCCTGCATTTCATCTGCAAGAATCAACATCCAAATTTTCCTCTACTATCCCTCATCTTCCTCATCTTTTGCTCAATGCTTCATCCTGCGAACCTTAAATGTTCCTTCTGTTGTTACAGTAACCATACTCTATCTTCTAATTTTTCTTTTTCTCATTATGTTTATTCGCTCATTCACTAGCTTAATCTTTAAGGACACGTCGATTCCACCACCGCTCTCCCTCTGAACTTACCTGTGCACCCTCCTCTTAAACCTCTCCTTTGGTTACTCATTATGACCCTAGCGGATTCTTTTGCCTATGCATGTTTATGTTAGCCAGCATTAGCATTTCAAAGCTCCTCTCTTTTTTGAAGGCGTAAATCATATTTCAGCCCACAATGAAAGCTGCTTGGTTGAGCCCTGAACCCTTTTTTACAATGTAAATCGTGACCCACCTTACTATGTCATTTGCTGGGATTTGCCCATAGGGTTTCATACATCATGAATCATGTTGGGCCATTATTGCTTCTGACGAAGTATTCCCCATTTTCTTATTGACACTAATAATTATTCAAAAATTAGTTGTCATCCTTTTTAGCTTTCACCTTTCCGGCTGTTTAAAAGGCTTAACATTTTCATAACTGATCAAAATTCCCTCGATTATAATTTCATGAACGCTGGTGATGGAAACTAAGTTCTGAAATTTATGGCATATTTAATGAATGCATCTTTATTATCATATTGTATTCTAACTTTAAATTTACTACAATTTTAAGTACTTTTATTTAATTTTAAATGTTTAGACTATTTAAGAAACGGTGATCTAGGTGCAGTCAGATAGCACATGCATTCATGATTCATTTTGTGCAGAGACCAAAATATAATTAAATTACAAAACTAATGGTTCTGATGGTTGCTTATAATAAAATGACTAGAATCAATTTATTGATTATAAAAGTTCTTACATATGAGCTTCAACCAAAATCTGTGAATTGCTAAATTGACAAAATTAGCTTGTAGGATCTCTTTTAGCTCCCATCACTTTGAACAGTGCTTTAGATTCCGTTCCTTTTATTCTTTGGCAAGAATTGATTGCAAGAAAAAAAAAAGAAAAAGAAAAGAAAAAAGAACGAGTCTTTTTTCCTGGAAACCTTGCAAAAGGAAGAAGATAAATGAATTAATAAAGAAATAAATAAGAAGATAAAAACACAAACGTCATATATAATACTAGATAGAATGGGAGAGAGAAGGGGGTTAAGATGGACGGTAGGAAACCCTAGGAAAGAACTAGTGTTAGACTAGCTCTAATACCAAAAGATACTGGAGTTAACCCAAAAAACAACATAACACAATTAATTATTGCTAAAACTTTAAAAGGAAACACAACGAGTTTCTTAAAAATGGTAATAAAAACACAAAAACAAAAGAGCCCTTTAGGTGAGGATGGAGGTGGTGAAGCCGGTTGTACAGCGGATTTCAGGTGATTTGGGGGCTTGCGGCAAGATTTAAGGTTGCTAGATGGGGGATGACAACATGTTGCGGTGAAAAGGAAGGGTAGTGTCGACAGGTGGAGGTGTAGGAATGTGGGAAGATATTAGGGTTGTGTATTGGAGGATTGGCAGCAGGTGGGGATTGTAGGAGAGGGTTGACGACAGCAACATGGGTATAGGGGAAGTCTAGTGACTGCTGGATTGGCTGTGGGTAGGGGCTGCTGCAGCTGTAGGTGAGGGTGGGGCTGGCGGTCGTAGAAACCAAGAGAGGTGGTGGAAGAAAATTAAACAATGAGCAGGGAAGGGTGTAGATGTGGGGGTAGATAGAGATCGTCACCACCTTAGAGCATGATATAGTCGGAGCACCACCTGTTCTCGGATGCAATCCTAACAATGGGAAAATGCTTAGAGGCAGGAATCTGAAATCAGAAAAAAAAAACTGATGCTAAAACAAATAAACAACATATATATATATATATATATATAGATATAATTATTATTAAATATTTAATATTTTTCCCTTGGTCGGGAGAGAGACAGGTGCGGTAGTTCCTGGCCATTGAAATAGCCATGGCCGGCCCTTGTGCATGGGATCCATGCTAGACCGGTTGGATAAGTTCAACCAAGCCAAGGCCCGTGTCAATTAGCCATCATTAAACACAGATATTGATACTTGATTGTCTAGTACATGGTAGGAATGACTGGAGAATGAGAATACATCAAATTTATGCTAACTAAATTGAATTAATCAAATATGATGACGATGAAGCTATTATAGTTGAAGATAATGTTTATTTTTTCTCCTTGTCATCGCCATATTGCATGCAATTGCTGAAACAATGCTGATAACTTTTCACATTTCCTTGTTCTACCAGTTTTTTGTGTTTGTCCGGTTTGGTTACTAATTCTTACATTTTCTGGCATTCAGTTCAGGCATCTGGCAAATAAAGTTGGGAACCTTGAACGGCCATTTCTTAAGGAATTTTTTCCTCGCTGGATAGAATCTTGTGGATGCCCCGTATTAAGGTTTTACTTTTCTGCTTACTTATTTTCTTTTGAGCTCTATACATTGATAAATTATTTCTTAATTTTTAGTTATGGTTTATTTAAAGAATGGGGCTCTCTTATAACAAGAGGAGGAACATGGTTGAATTGGCTGTCCTGAGAGGATGCACGGTAAAGGTTGGATCTGTTTCTAGTAGCAATCCATGTAATGAAAGCCAAGACAGTGATGTGGGTTGGCCTGGAATGATGAGCATCAGAATTCATGAGCTTGATGGAACATATGATCACCCAATTCTTCCCATGGCTGGGGAAGCTTGCCAACTACTAGAGATACAATGTCATTCTAAGTTAGCCTCTAAAAGAATTCAGAAACCCAAGAAGGCTTCTAAAGCTGATGGATCTGATGATAATGCGGATACTGCTCCTAGTCAAGATATGCGTACGAGGTAATTGCTAGAGCTTTTACGTATCTCTGCTCTGTCTTTTGGTGTTCAATTTTTGTTTAAGGAGTTGGTAAATGAGTTTCTCTGCAGTATGGATTCTCCCTTGCTATGGATCCGTGTGGACCCTGAGATGGAATTTCTTGCTGATGTTGATTTTCTTCAGCCCGTTCATATGTGGGTAAGCAAATGCCCATAATAATTAACAATACAAGAAGTTTGGCTTTTCTGTTCTGATATTATTCTGCAAGGCCCTTGCACGGAACTTTCCATATGTAGCTTTACCCTCTCTTTACTTCTATTTTGACCTGTAAACACTTTTGTTTATTGGCTACGCTATATTAAGTTTTTTTTCCCCTTAGTTTTTTGTTATTTTTTCTTTATTTCCACAAATACTTTTCATTTGTTCGATCCTTGTGCAATAAGTATTGATGATTGCAATTATACTAAGTTCAATATGTGGTATTTGTGTGCTTTGCTTGATGCATTATATTTTTTTCGTCGTTTCTTTATTTAGTTATATGCTTTTTTCCAGATCAATCAGCTAGAGAAAGATAAAGATGTGGTTGCTCAAGCACAAGCAATTGAAGCACTGAAAAGTCTGCCTCAACTTTCGTTTGCTGGAATTAATGCTTTGAACAACTTTCTCAGCGATTCAAAGGTTTTGTATTGCTGTTTGAATGCCATGCATTGGTCCTTTTTCTTTGTTTAACCTGTTGACTAACTGCTTTTGTTCAGGCATTTTGGAGGGTTAGAATTGAAGCGGCATATGCATTGGCACATACAGCTTCTGAGGTAGTTTACTCATCACGTTGAGAATGTTTTCTAGTTTTATTTATATTAAGACAAAAAACTAGCTGAAAACTTTCCAGTATTATGCATTTTTCTCGGCTTTTCTTATTAACCCTGTTAATTTTTTTCAGTTCAAATTGCCATCTTAGCACATTATTAATTAACCACATCAATGTCTAAATTAAATCAGATTGATATCAATTTATGACGGTTGATTTATATTCTTTTGATGGTCAGCTTTCATTCCTTTATTGGCAGCAGTTCTTTTCTGACTGCATTTACCGGCAATCTCCTATCTTATCCTTTTTATTTTAATCTTTCATTAACGTGACAGGTTTAGGTTCAACATTTACCACCAAAAAAGAAAAAAAAAGGATTTGTATTAAAGACTGATAGCATTTGTTGACTTGAATGGAGTTTGTCATAGAAATGTTTGATCGTTTTAGCATTTTTTTTCTACACTACCATTTGGTTTTTGTGAAAGGAGAATATTTTCTTTGAAAATTGTAATTTCTGACATGTTTTGACATTCTGCAGGCACCCTTGGTTGCATTTATTTGAAATATGTTTTAATTGTTCGGTGTGGTAATTTTGATTTGTATCAGTTTCCAGGTTAGCCCATTTTAACGTGTGGTGGTAGACTGAAGTAAATCTTTGTATGCATGTATGTCATGATCTAACCATATATATATATATATGTATATATACATATATATGTATGTATATATACATATATATGTATGTATATATACATATATATGTATGTATATATACATATATATGTATGTATATATACATATATATGTATGTATATATACATATATATGTATGTTTATTACTTTGGCTTGTCATGATTTTGCGTTGAATGTTGGCTTGTGACATCAACTTTTGTAGGAATGTGTTAGTATGTATGTATTTGTTGGTACATATCATATATCGTACCCTTCCTTTTAATTTACCTCTTCAAACATTCTTTCTTTTTTTTTTTTTTTGTGGAGCTATGATTTTCTTATATTACGTTTCTTCAGTCCCTCCATGCCGTGCTTTCTTTCGTAATGGCGGGCGGGCAAAAAGGTGATAGAAAAATTTTTCTATGTGCATTGTTTATTTTTAATTTTAGCCTCTCTCCAATTTACAAATGCCACTTAATTGCATTTGAAATTTATTGGCTTAATATGCATAGCTTAAAAAAATGGGTTCTAAATGGTAAAAGAATTTGTATACTCAAGGCGATAGGTCAAAAGCCTTGTTTTGAAGCAGGGAGAAGGCACCTTAAAGCTTATAGAAACAATATCACCTCATCAAGAAGGAAGACAAGATTCCTATGATTAGCAAACTCATTGAAATTAAACTTAGATCTAAAACAAGTTTTGATCCAACAAAATGAAATAAATTGGCTCTTTGTGAAGTTTGGGATGAGAACTATTGACATCAAAGATATTAGTTCAAATGATTTTTTGAAGGAGATACAAAATTTATTTTTTCCTAAATTGCTAATGTAGAAGGTTATATAGTATCGACATGTTTGTGACACTGCATGGGACATGGGCCCAACACGATTTGGAGAAAACTTGGCACAAAAGTAGAATATTATAAATATAAGTATAGCCATAATTACCTCATGGTCGAAGCCATTTTCTCTCTCATCTTGTCGAAGCTCATAACATTCATTAAAATCGACCATCGAAGGTGTATGAAATATTTCATGAGGCCGAGCATCTATAGTTACCTCTTTGTTTTCAAAGCCAAGCGTCAAATTTTCATCTTGCCTTTGTTGAAGCCGACCATTAGAGCACCTTTTTGTTTATCAAAGCCGAACCTGCACCCGTTAAAGTGGAAGTTATAAGTTTCTATGTCGCAACTTGAGTAGGAGTTAAATCTGTTCGTTGAAGCTGATCCAAGTACTCACAAACTTTTTGACACTTGTGCAAAGCTTCTATTTGTTGAAGCCACATGGAGTCAAAGCAACCTAATTTTGTAAGTGATAAATTATATATTTTTAAACTCTTTAATTAGTTAATATTTATAAATTTATGCTTATTCTAATTCTAAAAGTTAAATTTAACTTAATCAATTGAATTAAGTATAATCTTAATATATTTTAACTTCTAGTTGATAAATTGGAGGAATTCTTTCAAAACGTATAATAAGTTATAATTTTGAACATTGATTTGTATGAAGTTTCATAATACTAGTTAAATTTATAAAGTTAAATGTTATTCTTGCATATTTTGTTTTGTGACATCTTTAGTCAAAATTAATGAAAAATTATCTATTATATATATATTATTATATATGAAAATGTATTCATTGTGTGTTGTGTCCTATTTTTTTTAATTATGCTATGTTGTCGTATTTATGTTTCTGGGTACATTTCTGTGATTCATGGATAGGAAAGTGATCCACGCTTAGCAAGTTTTGATTTTAGGCAAATTCATTATTGATAAAAAGAATTGTATGATGTCTTTAATTTTTTAGTCTAAAAAGTAAATCTACAAGAATGTTCTTGGCAAGTTTCCATTGATTTTTGTAAGTTTTATTCATGTGATTTTCCACCACTACTAAGTTTGATTTCTTTTTCTGTTTTTTTTAATGGTTTAAATTAGAGGAGGTTAAAGTTGCTACATTAGTTTCGAGTGCTTACAGATCTCATGAATTTGATGATTTTTATATTAATATTTTTTGAATTATATGTTATTCTATTTATCCTAATTTAACAAAGGCATTTGGGGATATTTTCTTGGGTTATAGCAATATTTTTATTAATAGAATTCAATTTGCTGATGATCTGCTTTAATTTTGTGGTTTTTCTTGCTTCTTGTTTTGGTTATCAAAATTATTATACTTCTGTTTGATGAAACTTTGGGTTTTAGTATCTTCTTCTGTAAAGTTTCTTTAATTTGTCTTGGCTGTTGCTAAGATAAATGTCTTGAATTGCTAATATTTTGTGCTACTTTTGTATGGAGCTTTATTTCAAATGTTTGGTCTATTTAGTGTTCCTAGAGCATTGTGAAATGAAATTTGGTATCCTGTTATCGCCAAAATAGAGTATACTAGATTTTTTCTGAAGATGAGAGTATAATTTTGATAGAGAATAATGCTATTGGAGGTACACTCAGCACAATTTTTGCCAGAAAACTTTGAGGTTCACACCTCATGTGATTCAAGTGAGGTATTCACCTCAGGCCGAAACTAGTCTCAATTTTTTTTTTTAAATTTGAAATTAATTTTATAACTTATAAATTGCCTTGCCTATTCAAACACCCCCAAACTCATGAAACTATCTGCTGCTGTTGCGCCACTGCCGGTTGCTCACGGCGTCACTGACCCCTATTGTTGTTGTCGTCGCCCACTACCTCTTACTAAGTTCTCTTCTTCCTCAAAGATCTCAACTTTCTCTATCAATTTTTTTTTTCTGTTCAATATCTTGTTTTATTTTTGTGTAAAATTATGTTTTTGCATGATTTTAATTATGGTTTTGATTATTATTTTTTTTAGTATTTGGATGTTTTCAAATATTTTTGAATAAAAAATTTCAATATAGGGTTTTGTAAGAACTAGTTACAAGCAAGGAGAGATTTACAGAGGTTCTGAAAAAGGATTTTACATGGAGATATAATGAGCAAGGCAATGCTGGTGGAAACATGACATTTTCTTGAACTGCAAGCAAGTAGTTAAAGCTGTGTACACAGATGATTGGACACCTCTGTGGCTCACTTGTGAATGTTGCTTTATGTGCCAAAGTCTCAGATGTAGTGAAAAAGGAGATATAATTTTATATGAACCAGTTGATCATGTGAAAGCATCTCAGGTAACAACAATTAGGTGATAAAGTTGACATCAACTATTATTATGCGAGCGAGTGTTGTGTTAGGGACTGCTTGTCATCTTTGTCACAAATATCTAGTAGAAGTGCAAGGGATCCCTTGGATCACTATTAGAATAAATTTGGAGGATGATAGGTGTTCAGGAGAGAGGTAGTTTCACCTCAGAAGATGCATCCAAAGCATGCTAGAGAGGAATACAGATGTGTTTGTATGGATATTGGGAGGTTTTTCTATGAAAATGCTATTCAATTTACTGGGGAAACCTCCCTTTTTTTACTTCAAACAAATATTCCATAGGTGCTTATGGTTGATGCTAGCGATTTATGATTTTAAGGACATGGGTGTTGAAGGTGATGCATAATATCGAGAGTTACAAAGAGAAAAGTGAAGAAGACTAGTCACACTGGAGGTTGTTTGATATGATGAATAAAAGTTTTAATCCACATTTTAATAAATTTACTCATATGGCGTTATATCGTTAAAATCCATAGAAATATCTTTACAGATGAATGATATAGAGTTCATTTTTGGGTCTTTTGATGGAATGACAGAATATTGGATAGCTTTTGGCGGTTTAAGTTGTGATAGATAATGCAAATGCTTATATCATAACTGAGAATAAGTTGATAGAGAGAAAATATTTGTGCTAGACACATTCTGTTGCACATTGCATATACATGATTTTAGAGATGCTTGATGACTTGGCATGACCGAATATAGTTAGTAAATTCATCTACAATATTTTCTTGGCGTTGTCTGATAAAATTTTCTTCTTTTCTTAAAGCTATTTCACCTTCATGGGAGATATGGGATATCATTGATGAGAAATGGGAATATGCTCTGCTGCCATATGCATGCTGAAAAATGTTTTCTTAACTCTCCTTGGATCAAGTTAATGCTATACCTTTGCATGGACATGCTTATTGTCGACCCAATCAAGAGGGCAATTGCGGATATGGATCTAATTCCATTTAGGAATAATGAATAATTTTTTAGCCTGCTGTAAACTAAGGATATTATTGCAAAATTTTATAAATGGATCTGGGAACCTTTGGTTTATTTGAAATATATTTCGTTGGCTGAACCATTTTTCTTAGATTGATACCAAGTGAAATTCTTTTTGCACATTTGGGAGATTTCTACATCTAGTGTAATTTGCAGTTCTCTTACAGATGA